TTTCATATTTGCTGTAATTGCGTGTTGGAATTATTTTCAAAGAAAGCCTGCAATGATGCATGCCTTAACGTTTATCACGTTGATGAAACCCACGAGAAAGGGGATTGTGCTGACAAACTCACTGAAACATAATTCGAACATAGGCTTCTTCCATAACCAAGGGACGAAACTCCTCACAGCGAATTGGATTGTTGGGTCACCCGTTTCCCTTTCGTACTTCAATACAGCAGTTAAAATATCTGTATCTCTACAGCGAGGACGTGTATTATTAACCTTAGTATATGTGTCAAGAAATGCAAATATATTTGTCAACTAAAGGGTGACTTCGTTGTCATCGTATCCTGATGACATAATATTATGCCATCTGTGGTCCAGACTCAGGACTCTCTTATGATAGTGATCGTCATCTAGCCACTCCAGCACCTTCTGCAACAACCCCGGCACCTCTTTGTCCGACACATACATCAACAGGCGGTTGGAGATCTCAAAGTCGGCACACCATGGTCAGCATAATATACTACAGAAAAATACCCCGGTCCTGTGGGAAAAGGCGAAGTTAAATATTCGTGGAAGAAACGCTTAATATTGGACTTATATCCGCGCTACGTGATGACGAAGATATTCCCAGTTTGAACAAACTAATCGACAAGGACTCTCTCTCTCTCTCTCTCTCTCTCTCTCTCTCTCTCTCTCTCTCTCTCTCTCTCCCTCTCTCTCTCTCTCTCTCTCTCTCTCTCTCTCTCTCTCTCTCTTCTCTTCCACCACTGTTCAGAAGTTACATCACCATGTCAGCTTTGTCGGGAGATTGTCGCAACGATCTTAGTAAGGTGGAAGGGCATTTTCTTATTCGATGAGTTACAGGTTTCACCTGACCTTGATATCGAAATGTTCACTGATACCGCTGCTACAGTGGGACATGGGACATTACCAAGGGACACAGCTTGCAGAGAAATGGCCTAAGGACGTGTTATGCAATATGGCTGGTTAACTGTCAATGGCGTTCGTGGAACTGTACCCAGAGGCTGGCACAGGCGCCCAATGCTCAGCCTCACTCACCTCAGCCCCACACAAGCGGCCCCTCCCATTAGTCACGCCACGCTATTTCTTTCGTAAAATATAACCTTAAAATACAGTATAAGTCAAATCTCAAATAATACATTAAGGTACTACTACCTTCCTCGGATTCCCACAATGGAACGTATTGGCTTATTTCTTAGTGTATTTATCGATTCATCTTCCTGTAAAATTGCTGGAACATTATGTAAATAAATGAGCATGATTATGTTACTGTATTATCTAATGGTTAATGTACAGCTGTTATTTTTCTAATTTTCTTTCATTAACTCCTTTATTCTGAATCATCTTTTGGAATTACCAATTATATTCTTATCCAGGCTCATTAAAGAATACAGAGATGCAATTTATTTTGAGACTGAAAACAAAAACTTATGAATGCCTCGAAAATCAAATTGCCTTGTTAGGCCCTTCGTGACTTGAACCTGGTAGTTATTCAAGCAAGTGTGTACTGGTATGCAAAATGAAGGTAAATGGACTAGGTCAATGAATACCTAATTTATTGGAAACAAATGTTGCATTTTGTTATGAACATACTATCTCCTTCTTATATTGTTTTATAGATTGTTTTATCATAAATTGTTATGAAATAATATGCATGCATATACTCTTCAGTAATGAAGGAAATCTGGAATGTTAATCGTACAATGCACGTGCACTTACTTTCAACTGATCCGTCTTTGTCACAACATATTGAATGCTTCCAGACGTAATTTATGTGCGACATTCCCAGGCTATACAGCATTTCCACTGATTGAAAAGCCGATTACGTACATTTCACGAGATTTTATTCGAGGAAACATCCATAATATTAAATAAACGACACCCCCGGGCAAAAGAAAGGACGTGTATACACACATGTTTGATGGTGGCTAAGATTGAAACAAACAAGAGATGGTTTTCGTTTGTGAAGTATTTGATACGGTATCAAAGTTGTGTTTTGGACTTGTGTTTTCGATGTTTTCGGCCTTGCAACGTTCACAATTTATTGGTTACTTCCAATTTTCAAGTTATGATTTCTTTTGCCCATCAGTTTACACGCCCTTTACATTTTGAAACTTCAGGATATAAATCTAAACAGAAATGGTAATTTGATGCAAATGCATTGGATTGTATGACATTGTTGAACAGCTATACACTTATCTTTCAAATTTATATTTTTAAATTGTCGCAGAACATGTCACACGGTAATATAAAGAATTAACGTTACTTCGTGTCATCCAGGTTGGCATTGAAAGTAATCATCATGGCGATCTTGTTGTCTAAGAAATTATTCGCATGAGAATATTCTGTGGATGGCTTTCAGAGTTCTGAAGGTATATGTCCCTGTCTTCTACTCGCGATGGTTCCCACTCAGGTGAAGGTCTGCTTGCAAGACTCAAGCGCTGCAAAAGAAATGTTTCACAGGACAATTGATTAGTTCTGGACCATTGTTGGTATTCACGTTAGTCTAATATGTCCCAAGTTTGGTGTTAACGTTAAAAGGTTCCAAACCTGTCTCTTCACCGTACAGCATCACTACAGCCGATTAATTGAATATGAGTTTTTTCAATGTTAAGTCAGGGTTTCTCACGTCAATGTCAGGACACATTCTGGGTTAGGGGACGGCACTAAACACTGATTTAGTAACGCTTTAATTTTATGATTTACAGTGTATCTCAGACGTAAGGATTCAAGCACAATGCGTAAAACGTACCTCGCAAAGGCTCCCCTTTCCCTTTACAACTTGGTACACAAAGGTGATAGGTATGGGCAAAGACATCACCACTGCAACCATGATACCTATCATCTTTGCATATTCAGGGTAGATGTACTCGCCATAGCTTGGTGGATCATATTGAAACAGGGAGCATATCAGGGAAGCCTGAAAATATATGAAACTTCTCTGTACATGCTTGCAGTGGTTTTGTTCACAGTTGATGTTTGATTGTTCTTGTAAACAGAGAGTGAGAGAGGGGGTGAGAGAGAGATTGACAGATAGACACACACGCACGCACAAATAAACACACACTCCTCAAGTCTTGCCGAGACCATGAAATCAATATATTAAAGACAAAACTCTGATTATCAAGATTTTTTCTTGAAACATCTGATGTATAAATAATATCTCGACCTGTTTCTGAAATGAGTATATGCTCACGAGACAACATTTTCCTCTCCACAGCGAGAGTTTGACAACTGGGGCCAATATTGGGATATACCTGGATCTTATTGCAATAGTTTTCACACTTCCGAATACAAGCGTCACTTATTATAGGTTTGACAGTGTTTTGTCAATTAGTTTTTTTACTTCAATATTTGTGCGACCTACTACTTGAAAACTGCTACATATATTCTTTCAAACTTTGTGAACACTATCTATACCAATCGAAGAGATGCAGTACAAAGTTTGATTTAAATACTGTAAAAATACAGCTATTTTTCACCAAGAATTGTTTTACTTAAACATTTGTGCGACCTATAACTTGAAAAATCACTACATGAATTCTTTTCAAATTTAGGGGACAGTTTCCAAACTAGTAGAAGAGATGCAGTGGAAAGTTTGATTTGATATGCATATTTTCTGATGAAATGTGATTTTTTTAACGTATTTTGTAAACTTTACTTCAACATTTGTGCGACCTATAACTTAAAAACTACTTTATGGAATCATTTTTAATTGGGGGTACAGTTTCTTTACCAACAGGATTTCGATAAATGGCTTTTCTGTGAAACTATTGCATTTTTCATGTCTTGAACTGAGAAAAATGTTGAAGTCGAGGTCAGGGTTATTAGTGAGCCCTGCGCAACTTTTGCCTTGTTTATTTGTTTGTTTATTTCTTGTCTTAAGCAATACTCCGCAAAATTCCAGCTATCTGCCGGATTAGACAAGACAATCCAGTGATTGACATCATGAGCAATCGGGATTCGATAACATCCGCCCTGACCGCCCAATTCTGGTATGGATACCAATTCTAACCCTTGTCATGAGGGATTGGTGTTTTGATTTGACATCACTGTATTGCCATGTATCGCCAGTTAGATCACTCGCTTCGCTCCTGCTACAGTGATTCAGTCACTGCAACAATAATTAGGATATTACATCAAACTTTGGTGTGTACTTACAAAGAGAATGAAAGGCGTTAAATAGGATGACAGGATTTTGAGCAACACTGGAAATCGTCTTCCTGTCATCATCTCAATATCATTGCTGAGTCTCTTTGAACCTACAAAACATAAAAGCGACGTTAACACTGTGCGACTGTAGGACTATGTGTAAAACCGGTAAACTGGTTGTAGTTTGGTTGTAGCTTGGTTGTACTCTCACAATGAGTGAGTGGGATGGCGTTAACGCCACTATTAACGATACTCCAGTTATGTGATGGTTAGGGCGGTAGCCTAGTGGTTAAAGCGGTAGATCGTCAAGCCAAAAAGTCGGGTTCGATTCCCCACATGTGTACAATGTGTGAAGCTCATTTCCAGGTGTCCTCCGCCGTGATATTGCTGTAATATTGCTAAAAGCGGCCTAAAACTATACACACTCACTCACTCTCGATGTGATGGTTATAAGGCAGATGTTGGGGAAAACCAGCAGTTAATGCAGGTCCGAAGGGTTTACAACTTGCGTGAAACCTACGTGTACGATGTTGATAACTAAGTATTCATCGGGACGAATATGTTTAGAACCCGTGGTCATAAGATTCTGGCATGCCAAAGGGACGCAACTGAGGCAATGAGATCCTCAACTCTCCAGCTCACAAACATTACATCTACACAGTTCTGACAATACTGTGCCAATACAACATAAAATATATATAATGTCAACGCAGAAGAACAATCAGTCTACATTGGGCATAGAATCCACTTGTTGTAAAATGCAAAATGATGTCTCAAGGTGTTAGCGAACGGGATAAGCATGTCCAGCTTATAAAAAGAGTGTTTCTGACTTATCGCAAATTGTGCCACATGGTTTTACCATAGATCCAGTTGATGACGACACACTCGAGACAGCCAATGAGCAGTGTGCTAAAGGAGGAGGCGTACCACTCCATCAGTTGGAAGAGGTAAATCCCACCCTGCATAGAGGATAATATGAGGTTTATATTTTAAAAGAGATAAATCCACTCCAGAAGCACTAGAGATGGTTCTCCTTCAGTATCATAATAACATATTATGCTTTGAATTTTGTATCTTCTCTTGCACATTCTTCTGTTCCACAGTGTTACCTAAATGAACTCTAATAAAAGGGACCAGTGAAACCACCTCAACAGTTTGAAATAATGCGCAAAGATACAAAGGATTCCAAAAAAATCATTATTTGACATAGTTTGTTTGTTTGTTGATTAACGCCACACTCAGCAGTATTAAAACTATATGAGGGCGGTCTGTAAATAATCAAGTCAGGACCAGACAAGCCAGTGATTGACATCATGAGCATCGATCCACGTTGTTGGGATACGATGACATGCATCAACCAAGTCAGCGAGTCTGACCACCCGATCCCGTTAGTCGCCTCTTTGACAGTGATTCACATAAATATATGTTTATGTTATAGTCCGAATCATTCAGTGGACTCGTCTGATGGCGATTTCGTATGATCATGGACATGTTTTTGTCGCTTATATTCACACCCCTGTCACAAATCAAACGTGGATAATTCGATACGGATAAGACGATACCTGTTAGTTGGCACATCACTCAACTGTATTCCGTTCCATTATATGACATAAACATCTGATGACAAAACAATGAACATACAATGCAGTATTCATGATTGTAGAAGGATGAAGTATGATAGGGTCCACTAAATCTGCGTACTTTTAGAAATGAGCAAAGCTTTCAAAATGTTCGCATGGATGCGTCTTATACCATTCTTGTCAACACTCCATGTTTCGGACAAGGACAAGGCAGGCTATTTAGATGAGTTTTAACGGCATCAGGATGATCTTAGTGGTGATAGAACGCTATGGACTTAATGTTTGAACATTACGAAGATGTTTTCCGTAGGATGTAGGTCAATGCAGTGCACGCTTGGTCCTACAGGTATACAAATTCACCATTGTTATTCATCTTGACATGTCAATCAGACTTGCAACACGGTAGACACATATAAATAGGCTAATTATCAGTCATAATAATATTCATAATCATAAACATATTTCCTTGTGTTGAATAAACACGTCAGAAGAAGTCTCAGAATATCTTATTCCTCCAAACGTTAAGCCTGTTGACAGGGATAGTGCTTTGTAGGGAAGGTCAAATTTGTTCTGAGTTCAGATCTTAATCTAATGAACAGGTTTCGCAGGGAGATATACGTACCTCGGTTACAAAGGGAATGGACACAACGAAGCCAACGAGACACACTCCAGCAGTGACACACATTCGTCGTTGTTGAAGGTATTTTGGACACGCCTCTATGAGTCCAGCTGTGGTCGTTTCCGTTAGACCAAACTGCGAAAGTACGAAGTTAACTTTAGCAGTTTCACAAAGTAGCAATGTGGTAATGGTTACATGATGGTGATGATGAATATCAAGTTGTTCCGAGATTGAAGTGAAGCTCATTACTGGTGTCCTCTCGCCATGATATTGATGGGGTATTACAAAGAGCGACGTAAACCCATACTCACTCACTAACAACTGTTTGATAAGCATTTACATTAATGATGGCATCTGCGTTTTGCAAGCTCTGTACATATTAAACACAGATCTAATTGTAATTAATCGTGCAGTTTCCATCTGGGATTGGGGGCACGGGTGGCCCAGTCGTCTAATGCGCCGCGATTCGCTGTGCAGAGTTGCGTCGCTTGGGCACGCCAGAAACCTATGATTGTGGGTTCGAATCCCGTTTCGCCCCAATAATGTTTCTAGGTTTGTCAGCACCATACCCGTGCTCGTGAGTTTCACGGAAGTAGTAAACGTCTGAGACCTGCATCACCTCGGGCTTTCCTCACACATTAAGCTGACACGCCCTGATATAACTGGAAAACTGTTAAAAGCGGCGTTAAACCCAACTCACTCACTCACTCACTCCATCTGGTATTAAAACTCCCTTGAACAGAAGGTGCCACATGAGGCGAAAAACTACTCACTCACTACTGTTCAGTTATCATTTACATGGCACTTGCGTTTTGCAGGCACTGTACATATTCACAACGGTTAAGTGTTAGTTGGTAGTGCAGTTTCCTTCCAGCATTAAAACGCCCTTGAACAGCAGGTTAACGTGTCATGAAAGAGTCATCTAATAATATCTCAACGTTATTAATATTGTATACCATAGAATCTATTCCCATCATAAAGAGCATGATGAAGAAGAGGACTGCCCACAGTTGAGACACAGGAAGCTGGGCAATGGCCTCTGGGTAGATGATGAATCCGAGACCAGAACCTGTGACAGATACATGTATGTCTATAAGTTGTATGCTGTCGTGAGTGTGAGTGAGTGAGTTTAGTTTTATGCCGCTAATTACAATATCACCTCGGCGAACACTACAAATGGATTTCAGACATTGTACCAATTTCAAGAATAGAACTCAGGCCTCCGGCGTAACGAGCGAAAGCTCAAACCAAGACCCCGGAGTTGCAGCACATGTGTTACAAAGTCTGTTTTATCTCCGCATTGAACAGCATTTCAGTTATATCACGTGTCCGCTTGATGTGGAGGAATGCTCGAGATGATGAAGTTCCTCGGCTTTAGCCAATTTGGTGAAGCCTTAGAACACGGCTATGTTGTCAACAAACCAAGAACGATATTCAAGGCGAACATCTCTGATCATCTAATTTCGGTGCCTAAGACCAGTTGACCACACGTACCTGAAATTGTCCTGAGATAATATTGAACCAAATCATAAGGGTATGATACCCATACACACACACGGGCTGTAATTGCAAAAAGGATTATAACAAACATAATATTTGTGAAATATCTCCCACAGTTGTCGTTTGGGGATATATTTTTGGATACCATCCACCTACGTCTTTTTCATCAGTTTTCCATATTCCATATTTTATATTTATTTGGGTGCTACGAGGAGGACAGGGCGCGTTTACCCTTTTCGCGAACAACTGGTGTCATCACTGATTTTCAGAGATCCATTCACATACTTTTCGGCACAAGTTTGCCTTAATAGGTAAGATTTGTGAAATATCTCCCACAGTTATCATTTGAAATGGTATGCATGTGTATTTATGGATACCAGCCACAGACGAGGTTTTCATCATATTTGCTGTATACATGTCCATTGCTATTTAGTTTATTACTTCTGTGTGGTATCAGGGAACAAACACATATTTGTATGCAAACTGTGGCGGGTGCATCGGTTAGGACAGGACACGTTTACCCTTATTGCGAGCACATGGTGCCGTCACCACACCGTGGTGTTCATGGTTAGCTCATTTGGTACTGGGGCGGTCTGTTACCCAAGTGGTTAAAGCGGTCGCTCGTCACGCCGAAGACCCTGGTTCGATTTCCGATATGGGTACAATGTGTGAAGCCCATTTCTAGTGCTGGAACATTGCGGCGTAAAACCATACTAACTTTATCACTCACTCATTCATTTGGTACTTCTCCAAACCTAACCTTGTGTCAGGTTTCCCACTTTAAAAGGTATAACAACCGACGGACACCTCTACAACTGTCTTCCCATTCTTTAAAGTGTAATTCCCTGGAACAAAACAGTGCGTTAATGTTACGAGTAGGCGTAGCTGTTGTGAACATGAAGAGACAGCTCAGTTGCCACCTTGGCTGTTTGATCAATCTCAATCAAAGTTCATGCACATGTCTGTGACAGTTCGTCACACTTGTCAATGAAATCTCTGTATAGGTCAATAAAGGAACAGATATATTTACCTGAGGATACAACTTCTGATATCGGTATCTGCGCCTGGTGTGCCATGAAGCCCAGTGTGGAGAAGACCACCAAACCACAGAGTATACTACTTACTTCACCAATGACGGTAACTAACACAACGTCTCTGAAATACAAGACATCCAAATATTTGATGTCTTCTTTTCAAATGCAAATTTTACCAACAAGCGAGACTGGCGCAAATGTGGTTCCTGTTTTGACTTGTGCCATCTGTTCCCGTGTATTTTCATTTGGGCAATTGACTCGCCTTTGCATGTATTTGTAACGGATGCCACCGGTTTGGTACGCAGGATACGCTCATCCTTTTTGCGAACACATTTTGATAGTGATCCATAAACACATGCTTATGATATAGTAGGAGTTGTGCAGGACTGTGATTACGGAATGTTTTTGTCGCTTTTATATACTGGTCTCCGTCAAGGAATCTGCATACGCTACATAATGGGATCTTCCCCAATTTCACACAAGCTGAGTATCGTAACAAACAGCAGGTGGAATATCGATCCCTCCACCTCAATCATAAACGCCAGTATCTCTATTACAAAAATTGAAGCACAGCAGACCTGAAAAGTTTTAATACAATATAAAGTGCGTGGAGTTTCACATGTGTTACTCATCATCGTCATCATCATCAAAGACCACGAACTTAGTTTTTGAAGTTAACTGGGGGCACGGGTGGCCCAGTCGTCCAAGGCGCCGCGATTCGCTGTGCAGAGTTGCGGCCCTTGGGCACACCAGAAACCGTTGTTTGTGGGTTCGAATCCCGGTTCGACCCAATTATGTTTCTAGGTTTGTAAGCACCATACCCGTGCTCGTGGGTTTCACCGAACTGGTTAACGTCTGAGATCTGAATCATTTCGGGCTTTCCTCCCATATTAAAAGCGGCGTTAAACCCAACTCACTCACTAAGAAGATAATTAAACATAACAATTTACTTCAAAGGTCTGTTGTAGAAGTTGTTGTAGCTGCTCATGGTGATGAGTGCGCCGTACGTAACGCTCGTTGAATAGAAACCTTGGAGCAGCGCTTCTAACCACACCTATACAATACAAGGTCATTGATGTTGTCTTATAAGAGCTGTGAGACGTGTCGTAATAATAGTCTTTATATATGAAAGTAAATTGAGCACTGTATAGCAAAGATATATAACTATATGTCTCTATCTTTGCTCTCTCGTTTCCCGTCAGATGATTTTAATTTGCCTAAAGTTAAGGTGTGGGTACTTCATTCAAAAGGACTCTGTGACAAAAATTCATAAGTAACGATGAACGAAAATTAAATGTTATTACGAAATTCATATACGAGTTCAGATATGTACGGTGTCGTCAAACCGGTACACATCCACATATGGGGAACGACAGTCACACATGTTACTACACAGTCTGTGTTTTGATGGATTAGGATTTATACGGGACTTAGGGTGCTTATCGATATCAATTGTGGTCATCAAGATTATTAAAGATAAATAATTAATACACATCTGAGAAAGGGCAATATGGAACGGCTACAAAGGATTGGTGTTCAGGGGAACATGACACCCTGAAGAACAAAGGCAGAGAACTATTGCGAAATCTGATCAAAGAAAAGATTATTTCAACATACATTATTTTGACAAAAACATTACGAACTCTACCTGAACAGAAGCTAGTCGTGAGAAGTCTGGACGTAAGAAGTACAGTATTCCCTCCCCTGATCCCGGCATCATGCACGACCTTATGAGCAGCATCGTCAGAAGGATATACGGCACCAATACAGTCACATATACCACCTGCAAATACCAACCTGTAGCATCAAGTGAGGACAACACTCAACCCAGAATTATGAAACCACTAAACATACTGTTACAGCGAGTGAATGCGTGTGTGAATGTTGCTGTGAATGCATCAGTCAGGAATGTTTCAGCCATATCAAAATCATGGCAGCTTTTAAATAATCGAGTCTGGATCAGTGACTGAAATCCCGAGCAAAGGACGACTCCATCGGGGCATGGTTAGATGCAATACGTCAACAAGCCTGACCACTCGATCCATTTTAGTCGCCGTTATAAGACGTATAGGTTAGGCGTCGATCATTATATGTTTGGGAGAAGGTGATGTGATCCGTTCTCAGATATGCTGGTACACATTACTTTGCCTTTTAACCAATTTAATTCAATTCTATTCAGGAATCCATGGATCTACTTAATAGATCAGATAATGAAATCAGTGAGGTGATTGCTTCGCGAATGGCGGTTCTTACCTTTCCTACAGACCTGATGCCTTTCATGAGACAGAGGAACACTACAACCCAGGAAGCAAGGTTACAGAGAAGGAGATGAACCTGGACTGACCCGAAGTTGTTGATTCCACTGGACACCCTCAGAGTGCCATATCTGTCACAGTAAATAGAACGGTTTCATATGTTTGTCTTATTCACAGTCTGTCGGAGTGTGTCAGTAAACGTTAGTGACGTTGTTGCATATATAATATGAGACGTCAACACGAGAGAATAAACTCGTCTCGATTATCAGCCGAAAAAGATTCCATCGGAAGCAAAAAAGCGATGAAGATAAGCATTGAGACTGATTTGGACCAACCATTGTCTGAAGAACATTTGATTCTAAAGGCTAATTACCCTGTAGCCATGACATAACTCCACAACTTAATTGTCATTATTAATTAGGCGCTAATCTCCGTTCTAATCTTCACCAACATTTCATTGTATATTGACTGTCAGTCAACCTGGGCTACCATATCACTTCCCGTTAATTCCTGTTATTTATAGTATGACATTTATTGCCTTAATTGTTGACCCCATGAGCTGTGTCGGTTCATCACGCCCATATGTCCCATGTCCCGAGCAACGCCATTGTCTCTTTGTCTGTCCATTGTCGTTCATTACTATATATGTGTTACCATTAAACGGTTAGGCAGCTTGGTATTCCAAGCGCTGGTGTAAGGACGACCTGGAGCAGGATGTGCCGCTCGTAGTTAACGTCCTGCGGTTGAGCTGGAGTTCCGCTCATCTCCTGTTAGCCTGAGCTGGAAGGTCCGCTCATCGCCCTGATTGTGTTGTCAGAGCAGGTATTCCGCTCATTGTATATTTGTGTTTATTGTTTATACGTTGAGCATAAAACGTTTTGGGACAGTGATGCCGATTTTGTCTTTGATTCCCCCAAGAATTCCCCGTAATCGTGCGCGTTCACAATAATATGATTGGATCACTATAAATCAATGACGACACCAGGTGTTCGCGTAAAGTGTGAGCATTTTCTTACCCATTTATTCCACATTTATTCCACATTTATTCCAGGCACCAATAGTAGTCTGGAAGTTTACTATGTATGCTACAATCTTTCTCTTACTGCCAAAATTCTTCTGATGCTGTCAATGTTACATTCGACTTTCTCCATGCTGAGTAGACAAGGCGGTCGTCTACTACATTTGTGTTTGCGTGGGTCTCGTTGATGGATGAAACGTTCCCTAGCCTACTGACACACAAGGGAGTGTTCCACCAGTTGTCGCACGTTGTCCATGGTAACACGGACCAGAAGGACGTGTAGATGTAATATATGGACCAGGTAATAATGACATTGTACAGCACACTTCCTAATGAAGATGTCATAACCTGAGAAATACCGATACCTGAAACAAAACGTGTTTATCACAGTCTGCATGATAATATTATTTCATTGTCTAATATATTCAATCTTTTCGTTATGGAACTCATATCTTTTATATTGAAATACAAGTGCATACTGCCCAGGATGTATAGTTACACTCCTATGACCGACAAACATTTAGGTAATGAACGATGCAACGATGGAACATCTAACCTTTAAACAGAGGACAGAGGACCCACACGTGTCCAGCACTCCTGCTTGAGAACTGGCTGATGGTGATCTCCAGGAAAAACAGCGGGACAGAGCACGTGATGATTCCAATAAAGTAAGGAATGAGAAACGCACCTGTCAACAACGACATGAGCCACAAGTAGAACAAATGACGAAAAGACACAAGACACATCATTCTCATCCCATGGTCACCATAGTAAATGTACAAGGTCACCACCAGAGAATAACCAATCTCGATTATCTGATAAAAATTCAGTGATGACACCAGGTGTTCGCGAAAAGGGTAAGCACGTCCTGCCCTACCGGTTGTACCCGCCACTCACACACCCTTCATAAACAGGTTTGTTGCCTGACGCCGCACAGTATACTCTTGTCACAACTTTCTTGTAAATGCTCGATTGTACCTCAAAAGAGAAAGGTAGACAGGGAAGGCTGGAACCGCTGGACTATTGCGCGGCATTAACGGAACGTTGACTATTATCAAACACATGAATGAGTTGCATTACAGTGGAATGTCCATTTGCCCACAAAATGCGTCTTTTTAACACCGGTCCTTTTATAACGAGCACATTATAAAAAGTAATAAGAATGCATATTGCCCAAAACGAAATACACACTTATTGAATTAATAAGATACAAATATTGTTACATATTGTATATGAATAATGTCTTTTCGCGCTATATAACACTTGCATGGTGTGATTGGAAAACGTTAGCTTCTGAATATCTGAGAGGTTGTGTGTCTGTGAATTACATGTTGTTAATGCTCTGAATAACTGCAAATCTTTACAACTCGCTTACTGATCGTACATGGACATCTCAAAGTTCATATCCTTCACAACGTATAGCTCAACATCAATGTTCACGGTATGCATAATGTCTGTAGCGTTATCTAACACTGGCATGGTATTATATTTGGAACACGTTAACATTTTAATAGCTCATGGTCCCTAAGATTTATAAAGTTTCAAATTGAGCGAATACACGTTTCATACTGACCACCGCCATTCCTGTTACAAAGGTAGGGGAATCGCCACAGAGACCCAAGGCCCACAGTGAACCCAAGGAGCGACAGGATGTACTCTCTTTTTCTCGTCCATTCCTCTCTGGCTGCTACTGAACTGTTTCTATTCTCTTTGCGACAGACATCGTCCAGAAATATTTCACTCTCCGCCATGTTTGGATCCACAATGAGCACTTGTGATGGCGGTTGTTCAGATGTTCCCTGGCAGTAGACAAATAAAAGATTGGCACTGACTGGGACTGATTAAAGAATAGGCACAGCTTGTTCATTGGTTAGTATAGCTTGCTGACGTGCGCATAGTTATCTGAAACCATTTACAACATCTGGTGCTGCAAGTTGTACTTTTTACAATTGTTCAATTTATGTAACATATTCAAATTGGTCGAATACTTTTTAGTTTAACGTATTCAAAATGTACTTATAATATAGAGTACGCCTTTCACAAACACCCATACTATTTGGCGGCCAATACAATATTTATGCATCGTCATAACAACAACTGTTGCATATAATTAATTCACTTGTGACATACTGTAGATGCAACACAAAACTAATACTCGCATTAACAGGGTGTATTGAGTGACGTTTGACGTAAACATACAGTTTATAGCCAAAACCATGGCTTTCGGACGAGTTGATGACTATAGTCTGGAAGGTAATTTAAGGTACCGACGTTTACTACAATATCTGAAAAACTATTGGACCTACTCCAGTCAAAGTTGGTATGAGATTATTAAACAGTCATACATACCTGGATATTACATTTAAAGACAATCGGTGCATGAATAAAAAATCTGTCTATTCAGCTATCACTATATTTCATCAATAACCAGACCTGTTCGTCACGGGTGGAACGAGCATTCATTGTAACAGCCATCTGCATAATGCTACCCCTGCGTCACAGGGCCATATGACACAGTTAAACGAATCAACTCAACTCGAAAGGGTGCACGGGAATCACGCACGTTGAGACGCCCAACGCCAACACCGTATTCGTCCGTGCGTGAATGAAAACTACTTTGTTGATAACTGTTTGTTGTTTAACGCCGCACTCAGCAATATTCCAGCTATATGACGGCGGTCTGAAATTTATCGAGTCTGGACCAGATAATCCAGTGATTGATATCATGAGCATCGATCTACGCAATTTCGATACGATGATATGCATCAACCAAGTCTGCGAGCCTGACTACCCGATCTCGTTAGAAGCATCTTTAACAAACACTGTCGCCTCTTAAGAAGACACGCATCTAGTTCTAACCCAGGTCTTACACGGTTACTATGCAACCAACAAGAGAGATTTATAAACATATATGTTTCATCATTCTCACATTCTTCAATTAAACAATGTCCCCAAGGCGGTGTATGAATGCATGTTTTACCTTAAATCTTGCCCCGCCTATTTTTGGTTTGGGCATGTTTCAAACATTCTTGTAAGAAGATCCTAGACTCCACTAACAGTCATCGCTGTATATATGCTACAATCATGTTTTCTCTCAGTTGCAGCTTTTACCATTTGTATCTATATCGCGTGTCCCGACGAGTGTCCCATGTACTCTGTATTATCAACCAGCAAACTTGCTATTGTAACAGATGATCCTCACCGGTAACATACATTAACAAACACAAAATATTCATTTTACACTGCAGATGAAAACGGTAAGCTGTATAAATTCACGCAGTAATGTCAAACCATACAGCCATATGAAAATTTTAAAAAACGTCCATATACGCATGACAGTATATTTGGCTTTAGTTGATTCGTTATTTTTTTTACGCATAGTTGCGACTTTATTCTTCAAATCTGTCTGCATTGATATGAAGAACCGAACATGTGTTACCGGTGATGACTTATATTACTAATCATTAAGAATTCAATAATGTGACTACAAGTTTTCTCACATTTATGCCGATTTGTTTTTAAACCATTGCTAAGTCGACAGACAGAAACACATACTGTGACATACATATAGATATATAGACATAAAGTACATGTATACAGGCAAAGCCTTTTCTATAATGATAAATATGAACTCGTCTCTTTATTGAAGGGGCAGTCGGGTAGCCTAGTGGTTAAAGTGTTGGCTCGTCACGCCGAAGACCTAGGTTCGATTCCCGGCATGGGTACAATGCGTGAAGCCTATTTCTGGTGTCCCACGCCGTGATATTGCTGGAATATTGCTAAAAGAGACGTAAAACCATACTCACTCACTCTTTATTGAAACACAGTCGAGTGTACTGTTGTTGCAATGTTGCATCGCACTATACTCATTCCTATTTCATATTCGTAGTCCAATGTTTAAACATAATACAAACATAATACAGTCTTAATATATGAAATATAATTCATAATGTAATACACCAACAACTAATATTTAAGTAATTTTGAACGTGCAAACAACGTTGTTATAACGTTTGTATTCCAACCTTCAGGCAATGTTTTAATAGAACGTTAGGCGAACGTTTTGAACGAACGTAATGAAAATAGGTTAAACCAACGTTGCGACAACCATGTTTCCCTTACATTATATTCACACAACTTTCCAGCAACCTTGTGATAACCGTGTGTGTCAGCTGGGAAGTGTATACTAGCTTTAGCACGGCAGTTTGATACGAGCCTTTTGTATTTTGAAACTGGAGGATATAAATCTAGACGCACATGGTAATATGATGCACATATATTTAAATGTATGACATTGTTGAACAGCTTTTCAATTATCGTTAAAATTTATATTTTTAAATTGTCGTATAACGTCACACAATAATAAAAAGAATTAATGTTACACTGCAAACACGAAAACGTCGTTTTTTTCCGTATATGGTCATTGGACGGAAAAAACGACTAAAAATTCATTAAAATTGATTAATTGGTCAGCGTCTAGAAAGTGTCCAGAATAGGGTCGAGTTTTTCAAGCGTAAAATGGACGGGAAAACGATGGTTTTTGCTCCGCCTTGTACAACTGTTAACGGCCAATCAGATGGCGCTGGTCCCCCGACGCACGTGATGTCCA